TATTTCAAATACATAACAAGGAGGAAATCTTCAGTCACAGTCTAGAGTAGAGCTTGTTACTTTCTCTGTCCGATACGATCTGTTCCTCACTCTCCTCAGGCAGGGCAAGTACTTCCCAGCGGCGGCACGGAAGTCTCTGCGGAGAAAGATGTAAAACACAGGATCCAGCAAACTGTTAAGGCTCAGAAAGCCTCGCCCTAACTGATAAGGTACAAACACAGCCTTTTCCCAAACACACGGACTGCTGTGTATCAGCAGTCCGACGTACTTCACACAGCCGATGAAATGATAGGGCCCCAGCACCGTGACAAATACGGCTACCAGAAGGGTGAGCAGACCCCTGATACTCCTCTTCTCCTCGGATAAAAGCGAGTTGATTGCCATCAGTGAGCGGACGGTCTCTCTATGGAGACCAACAATGAAGCTCAGGGGTATGATGAAGGACACAAGCAGAGTAATCAGCCTGTAGGTGATAAAACTGCCCTCTGAGGGATACTTCTCGATACAAAGAGTGTAATTTTCCTGCTTGGGAAAGAGCTTGTTGAATGCAATGGCAGGTGGCACTGCAATTAGAATCCAAATGCTGAGTGCTATCCAGTGAGCAAACTTCAAGTTACGGAGATACTTGAAACTGAGAGGTCTGGCGACGGCCATGTGACGCTCTAGAGCAATGATACACATGAAAAAGATGCCCGCATAAATGCCAATGTAAAAAAACAAACCCATGAACTGACAGCTCTGGGGTCCGAAGCGCCAGTGGTGTCCGTTGGCGTAGTAATCTATCCATAAAGGCAAAGTCAGAAGTTGAATTAGATCTGCGATCAGAAGGTTGATGACATACACTGGTAGAACGTTCTCCAACTGGATGAGTCTGTAGAGCCCAAAGAGCGCCAGCAGGTTTAAAGGGGTGCCGATGATGAAGAAGATTCCATACAGGACGGGAAGGAAGATGCCATCTTGACTGAAGTCGATTCCGCAAGCATTTCCCACAGTCGCTGGGACGCTCAGGCTGGTGAGGGCACTAACATTGAAGTGGTTCTTCATCTTTTGCCTATGACAGAGTGGTATTGTGTTCTTTATATGGTTTTGAATAATATTCACAAAACAAAACTACTGCCAGTAGCAAAAAATGTTTCATTTTTATATGAAGCACCATCTAAATATATGCACATGTAAAATAAACATTTACAGAACAAGTAATTCAAAACACTGTAGGGGAAATTCTAATTATGAATTGCGGCATTTTAGTTCCAATTCACATGTGGAATCATTCAAGTCCGGTAACGCACAAATATGCTTCACAAAATTTACATTTATGCATTTGACAGATGCTTTTACCTATGGAAACTACCAAGCCATTCAAGGTATATATTTTTACATCAGCATGTGTGTTTCCTTTTAATCAAACCCATAAGATAAAATGTTTCATCAGTGATTTAATTTTTATGTGATGCAAGACTATTTCAGCACATTTAGTGCCTAGATAAACTGCATTGCACTTGGTAAAAAAAAAA